AATGAGGCTTATGAAAGAATATATTATATGAGAATATAAGAATATATAATATAATATATTATATATATTATTATAATATAATATAATATAATATATATAATATAATATATTATAATATAATATATTATAATATAATATATATAATATAATATAATATATATATGATATACATATATATAGCATAACTTATAACTTTGTACTTTTCCTGTAGATACGACATAATACTGTCACGTCTAATTTAAACAATAAAATTTACGTTAATAAATGCCGTGGATTATTGACATCATCCGATATGCTTTCCGTGACATCCTCTTTATGCTGTTTCTGAATTAGGTTTCTTTTAATTTGGCTTGCTGTTAGCTCATGATAGTTGCAAAAGTTAATCTTACTCTGGGAAGAAATATCTTCACTTATTTTTCTAATATTATTTTAATCTTTATTTCTATAAAAATACCTTCCGAATTCTTCTATCAACTTCAAGCAGAATATTCAAAAATTGTACGACTTGAAAATTCTTGAAAGCAAAATCTCCGTAAATTCTTTCGATGATAAAATTATATCTTGTGATATAAATGAAACAGAGATATTTTTTTTATTTTTTAATTCTCAAAGCAAAAATGAGTAATGTTATAAGTTTGAATTTGTTGCGGACGCATTAAAATCCGCAGTCTGCTAAAACTGTAAAACTGTTGGCCCTGTAATTGAAGAAAATATTTGTCCTTGAAAAAAAGCTCTTAGCAATTTTATGAACCTTATATAGCTTATATTATAATATATTATATATATTATTATTTATATATATAATATAATAATAATAATATAATAATATTTATATATAATATATAATAATAATAATAATAATAATAATATAATAATATTTATATATATTATTATATATATATTATTATTTATATTATTATATATTATATATATTATACCTTAGCTTATTTATAAACCTTATTCTATACATTACATAGAATTATACAATTATATAAAACCTTAACAGAACAAAAATATAGAATACTTTCAGATCGCTTCAAATTCGTGAATTCGGGAACGTACCGTCAAGCAGTTTTCAGAAAGCAGCGGGGACAAGTGTGGGCACCGCGAACCACGGTTCCCCGAAACACAATTTCCAACGTTGATTAATAGCAAAGTAATAATCTCGATGGATTAATCAAAGTCGGCGGGATCAAAGAGAAATCAAGGGAGTGCTCTTGGCCGCTAATCGCAGCCGCGTCAGCTTTCCAGAATTTCCGGTAATAGACGCGATTAACTTGGTACCGACCGATTACCCCCGAGTGTCGAAAGGGTACAGGGGCCCACGGATCGTCGACTTTTCGGAAATTTCCCATAATCACCGGGCAATCATGGCAATCATCCACCCGCACGTTTACGCACCGGGCCCACCGAATTCGCCGTTCTCGTTCGGAGCCGATTCCGTGAACCCCGGCGTTCTAGTTTACGAAACTTTTAAATAAGACCGCGCCAAGGGGATTCAGATTCGCCCTCATTACCGAGCACCCACTCGCCCCGGGGAACCGGCAATTTCGTAAAGAAGAAATTTATCTACCGTTGAGGAATGAACGCTGCTGACGAAACGCGAACGTTGCCTAGGAATCTTCGGGAATGGGCGTCGTGCGTTTAGCGGAGGGCTAATCGATGTTCGATAACGTAGGGACGAAAGAATAATAGCTGCAAAGATGAGAAAGATTGTCTTATTATCTCGTACAAGATTACCAATTCCCCAGAGTGAAATTAATGAGGCGAAAGATTACCTCATCTAAGGTGAAAATATTGAAAAAAGAATGCAGTAATAAAGTTCATCGGTAGGAACAGCGTATGTGAAACATCGAATGAGTAATGAAAATGGGTAATAATTAGACTGCAGACCATCTTTATGCAGAATAAAAATTGTTAATTATATATAATTGACAATTTTTATTCTTATTATATCTTATATTATTATATATCTTATTCTTATATTATATATAATTATATATAATTGACAATTTTTATTCCGCATAAAGTTGGTCTGCATAATATATATAATTATATTATTATATTATTATATTATTATATTATTATTATATATATTTTATATATTATATATAATTATATATAACGTCAATTATAATTTAGGGAAGTAAAATAGAAATTCATACGAATTATCTGTTCATTTAATACATAGTTTACTGTCACCTACTCATTTTTGTCGGACAGTAGAATTTGGATGTCAAGATTCTTTATCATTTTCCATAAACTCTGTTTACTATGCTTCGAACGAAAAAGTCGTGGCATGTCGGCGGACGACATTTCTCGAAATGGATTTCTAACGAAAGGAATCGATCAAGGAAGCAATCCGTTATTATTTTGCACTTTTCTCGTAACTTCTTAACCTTCAACTGTTGGCGTAGATCAATGAATGACGTATTGTCACTGTGTGAAAGAAGCTACACAAATTTTGCTCATCACCAGAAGGTTAAAGAAGCATTCAAAAATCTATGTTCATATAATATTTATTTCTTATTTTTAATCGTGCAATGTGCTGGTCAAGTTTTGGTCAATTGTCAGCGGGAAAAGCTGCGACACCATGTATGTATGTCCACTGAAACATTTAATGAATTCCCTATAAATGTACCTTTATAATTTCAATAATCACAAATTAAACAATTTGTAATGTGTTAACACGACGCGTTCTGTAAACCTAGTATTACAGCAATTGAACTATTAGAGTGAGTGTAGGTATTATTGCGGTTTCTCAATGAAGGCGAACTTTGACAGAGAAAATAAGACCTCTCACGCCAATGAATTGACAACTTGAGCTATATCTATTATTCTTTAACTTGAATATTTACTTTTCTCAAAATATTGGATCACTGAAAGCACAGATTTCATTAAAAAGCGTGATATGAAGTTATGTATCTATTACTGCGAGCCAAATACTGCGGACGTACCGATTACTGCGTGTCAAGGTTGACATAACC